TTTGATCCCCAAACTAAAAACCAATTTTTAAACCAGTTAGGGAATCGTTCGAAAATAGGCAATCGTAACTGAATATACCAACTATGGGTATTGTTTGGATTTTGATAATAAAACATTTTATGCCATGCTTCTATATATTCGGCATACTTATAATATTTGTATGAAAAGTCAGGATTATGTAATTTCTTCCCTTGAGCAGGATTGCAGCCCCACTCATCATAAGAAAGTAATTTCTTAATCTGGATTTTGGAATATGCAATTACTCTAGTATTTTGTTGGTAGTAATGGACAATAGATATGGATCCTGTTTCCATGAGGATTGCTTCATAATATTCTCTAGTTTTGACTCCATTAGTTGGATTCAAATGGTTTATCAGTTATAATGGAGCAAGTTTGATATGGTCCATATTCGTATGGTGATCATCAATGGTAATGTCCATAAGCTAGGCTCTTTCAATATATGAAGACCGAGAAAAATTAGGCTTCTGGTTTGATTTAGATTGTGCTTGAGAATAACCAGGAGTAGATGTATTAGCCTCTGGGTAATTGATTTGGTGGATAGGAGAATTGGAAGGTGAAAGGGTTGCCAAAGGCAGGAATTCACCTTCAAATGATATTATATTCAGTGGGCGTTTCTCATTGCGAGAATTGCTTCGAGAACTCATGAGAGTAGGTGGATGTGATAGAGTAGTATTATTTTTATTAGCTGCAAAGAGCTGTAGTGCAAGTGATAGTGGTGATTCTTCGTCGTTGGCGTCAGGGTTGCCCCCCCTGCAAAAATTCACGGGTGAGAAAATCAGGAAGAGAATTGGAAGACCCAGGAAGATGTTCAATAGTGAAATCAAAAGCGTACAAGATAGCTTGCCAGCGAGCAAATATTTGTTTAGCAACAAGATTTTGGACATCTTTTTGCAGAATATCTTTAGCTGCTTTACAATCAGTTCTAATGAGAAATTGTTGATTGAGAATATCACTTTGAAATTTCGTAACACAATGGACTATGGCAAGTAATTCTTTTTTTATCATAGAATAGTTTTGCTGGGTTGGGTTCCAGGCTTTAGAGGTATACCTGAGTAGTTGTTCCTGATTATCAATGCGTTGCTTGAGAATACCACCCAAGCCCAATTCGGATGCATCACATTCTATTATCTTGAAAGCAGTAGGATGGAGAAGAGAAAGGCAAACAAGGGTTTTTACCTTTTGTTTGATTAGTTGAACTGCTTTAGTATGAATGTTTGTCCATGGTAAAGGATGTTTTCTTAATCTATCATGTAAAGGTTTAGCATCTATAGCAAGATTCAGATAGAAATCACTAACATAATTTAAACATCCTAAGAACCTTTGAAGTTCTTTCTTATCGAGTATGTGATCGGGGAATTTATCAGCAAATTGTATGGATCGATCTATTGGAATAATGGTGCCATGATGGATATTATGTCCTCGAAACCCAATATTGCTTTTAAATAAAGTTATCTTTTTTACCGATACAACTAATCCAGTATTCTTGACTGCATGAATAAAAGTATTAATATGTTTAATAATTTGGTCTATAGATTCAGAAAAGATCAAGACATCATCAATATAAACTATCATAAATTGATAATAAGTATTAAAGACATCATTCATTATTTTCTGAAATTCTGATGGAGCATTTTTTAAGCCAAATGGCATTACATTCCATTCATATTGTCCAAATGGTACATTAAATGCTGTTTTATATTTATCTTGTTCTTGAATTTGTATTTGCCAATATCCAGATTTCATATCAAATTTGGAAAAGATACAAGCGTTGGCTACTCTATCTAATAAATCTTTTTTATTGGGGATAGGATATCTAATCCATCTTAAAACTTTATTGAGAGGTTTATAGTTAATAACTAATTGAGGTACTCCTCGTTCTTTTTCAGCATTTTTTATTGACATAGAAAGCTGCACAACTTCAAGGTGATGAGCTTGGTCGTATTAACTTTTTTATTTGGAGGTCATCAATTTCTTTTCTACACATGTCTAATAGAGTAGTGTTCATTTGTATTGGTCTAGCTTTTGTAGGTATTTGTTTTTCATCAAATCCTTGTTCATATGGTAGACTAATACTGTGCTTTTTCCTTTTCCAAAAAGCATTGGGATGCTCACTACATATAGAGGTTTCTATTTGATGTTG